TTGAATGATGGTTATCTACCTGCTGTTAACTGTAATCGTGTCGGCGCATCCTTACAGCAAGTTGAATTCACAGTGGATCATGTCAAACAACACTTAATTAAACTTCGCACGGCCGCTTCACCTGGTTTAGATGGTTTAACACCAAAACTGTTAAACTCTTTCATCCAAAACTCCTTACCCCCTAGTTGGAAATTAGCTTCCGTTACCCCTATTTTTAAAAAAGGCAACAAACTCGACCCCAACAATTATCGTCCGATTAGCTTGCTGCCAGTAGTTGCCAAAGTTATGGAAGCCATTATTTCCGAGGAGATGACCAAATTCCTTCTCCAGGAACATGTTATTCCAACACAACAACATGGATTTGTCTCTGGTCGCTCTACTCTAACCAATCTCCTACACTGTGTTAACGACTGGACCTCATCCCTTAACAGTTCGCAGCCGGTCGACGTTGTTTATCTAGATTTTTCTAAAGCCTTTGACCGTGTACCTAAGCGCAGACTTCTACATAAGCTAGAACATTTCGGAGTTCGCGGTACTTTACTTCGTTGGATAGATGATTTCCTGACAGATCGATATTACGAAGTTAGAGTTGGCGAATCTTTCTCACAGGACAGGTTAGTGGAAAGTGGAGTGCCTCAGGGTTCTGTCCTTGGACCTCTGCTTTTTACGGTTTACACCAGCGATATTCCTTATTATGTCTCAAGTAAAATATCGTTTTACGCTGACGACACAAAAATATATGCCAATCCAAACACAAACCAGCTAACCCTCCAAATGGACTTGGACTCTATTTTAACTTGGTGTTCCCAGTGGTTACTACCCTTAAACGCAGAAAAATGTGTAGTGCTTCGAATTGGCAAAAATAACCCACTTGTGCCGTACTTTGTTAACGGGCAGCCATTATAATCTGTGTTTTCGTATAACGATCTTGGTGTTATTGTGAACAGCAGCCTAACTTGGTCCGATCATATTACCTCTATTTGTAAACGTGCAAACTCCAGACTGTATCTTATTCGGAGGTGTTTTTCGGGAGTTTCAATGCAATTATTTTGCAAACTTTACACTTTGTACGTAAGACCCATACTTGAATACGCTGGACCAACGTGGTATCCCGATCTGGTTCGAGACAAGACTCTGTTGGAAAACGTTCAAAGAAAAGCCACTCGAATTTCTTTGGGACCGAGAAGACCGTCTTATGCAGAAATACTTAGTATGACTAACCTAACTACGTTTGAACTTCGCCGACAACGTGGAGACTTAATTACAACATTCAAAATACTAAAATTCAATTTTGGCAACCTCGATGAAATATTTATCATACACCAAGATGAACGCCTCTGAGGTAATCAATATAAACTAAAGAAAGAAAATTTTTCTATAAGACAAAGACAGAACTTTCTTCCAAATAGAGTTTTTGAGTGCTGGAATAACCTCAACGACAAATTTGTCTCCGCTTCCTCTACCAACTCGTTCAAAAACAGACTCGACAGTTTTATATTATAGTTAAAATATTGTTTTTCTTTTAAACCAAAAATTGTAATTTTATTTCTTTTAGTTGTAATTTTTGTTATTTACTAGTAGATGATTAATGAAATTTCTTTGTTTTTGGGCATAATAGGGACTTAGTTCCTCTGCCCTCGCTTTTTAATATAATAATAATAATAATTTCATTTCCAGACTTCCAAGATCCAAATTCCTGTTTACCCTTCGAATCACAAACTATTTCATTACTGTCTTACTTACTTTATCGTGTCCGGACATGTCATTCATAAAATTTCGGCCCAGTATCGGGCTACGTCGGTTCCATCTTTGTTGGCGAGCCACAAATCTTCAAGGGTACATCGATGAGGACAGTTTCTGCATGTAAGAAGATGTTCCATATTCTGTGTTTCTCCACAGTCACAGTTCACATCATCTTGGTTTATTTTTCCCCATTTTGCCATGTTTGATTTTACTGTAGCAACCCCCGTTCTTATCCTATTTAAGGTTTTCCACGTTTTAAAGTCTAGGGTCTGGCCGGCCCATTGAACCTGGGGAAGTGGAAAATACTCAGGCGGTTCATCCTTCACTGTTCCAAGGAAGCTTTTCCTAGATTTTAGTCGCTTTCGTGGTGTTCGAGTTTTGTACAGGGCATGCCGATCGTCCGCGATCTGTTTAATTTTCTCTATGTGTTCTGCAGCGCCTCTGCGTGTTGAGGGTTCTGCAAAACCCGCTGCTCTATATAGATTTGAAAGTGGCGTTGGTTTCATGCACCCTGTTACTATCCTGCATGTCTCATTTAGCGCAGTATCAACTTGTTTGGTGTGGACAGATCTGCTCCAAACGGGGCATGCATATTCAGCAGTTGAGAAACACAGTGCCTGTGCCGTTGTTCTTAAAACGCCAGGACGTGCGCCCCATTTACTTCCCGTTAGCTTTCTGAGTATGCTGTTCCTAGTTGTTACTTTCCCTCTTGTTTTTATGCAATGTTGTCTGTAGGTGAGGGACCGGTCCAGAGTTACTCCAAGATATATAGGTTGGTTTGTGTGTTCTAATGTATTACCATTCCACACAATTTGGAGTTTTCGCTTGGCTTCCTTTGTGCGAAGGTGGAAAGCGCAGACTTGGGTTTTAGAGGGATTGGGTCTCAGAGAATTCTGCAGGTAGTACGCTGTCATTGTTTTTAAGACAGTTTTGAGTTTCTCCTCCACTTCTTTAAAACTATTTCCTTGAGCACATATTGCAAGATCGTCAGCATAGAGGAAGTGCTTGGTTTCGGTCGGAGTAGGTTGATCGTTTGTGTATATATTGAAGAGCATTGGTGCTAAAACACTTCCCTGTGGGAGGCCGTTTTTTTGAACTCTCCACCTACTTACTTTACCCTCCAGCATAACGAAAAAACGTCTATTTTGCAGTAAGGAATATACGACCTTTCCCAGATGGTGGTCATTGAGAGTATCGTATAATTTGCGGAGCAATGTTTTGTGCCTTACTGTGTCATAGGCTGCTGTCAGATCTACAAAAGCAGCCCCTGTTATAAGTTTTTCTTCAAAACCCTCTTCAATGTGTTCTGTTAATGCGAGGACTTGACCGGTGCAAGATTTGCCAGGTCTGAATCCACCTTGTTGTGGGATGAGGTGCTTGTCGACATTTTTTTCTATTCTGGCGAGTATGAGTCTCTCGTATAGTTTAAAAAAGTGACACAATAGCGAAATAGGTCTGTAGCTGCTGGGGTCTTCTGGATCCTTTCCTGGTTTTAACAAGGCTATTACTTTAGATTTCCTCCATGATTTTGGAATTTTGCAGGTTTTGCAGCACGTGTTATAAAATTGCAAGATCCAGTTTTTTGCTCCTTGGCCTAAATGCTTTATTTGTTCACTGCATATATCATCCACACCTGCAGCTTTCCCGTTTTTTAACCTGTTCAGACCGTCGTGAAGTTCTTTTAGAGTAAAAGGAGTTCCTAGGTGGTTTGTCTCCGAATCCAATCTTCTCCTAGTGTTTGGGTCCTTATATCGGTTCGTAGTTCTTCCATTCGTAAGGAGTTGAGTAGCGACTTGGTTTGCTGTAACCTTGCAAGGTGGTTTATGTTCTTTTGGATCACCGCTGAGTTTTTTTACAAGGTTCCATGCTATTTTGCTACTATGTGTCATGTCCATTTTTTCCAGGGTCTCAATCCACTTTTCCTGTCTGGCTTGACTTAGCTGTTGGAGTAGTACTGCTCCGCAGTCAACCGTTTCTTGGCTAAAAGGGTCAGTGGAATAGAGGGTTTCGTATGTACTCATTAGTTTCTTTGGACTCGCTGGACATCCCGGGAACGTATTGTTGTCTACATCCTCTAGGGATAGTTTTTCTAGACACATTTTTGAGTACCTCTACGAATTTTTCGTAGTTCTCTACTTTTGGTTCAAGGCGTAGTAGTTCAAAATCTAGCATGTCTGCATACTTTTGCCAGTTTGCCTTTTTGAAGTTAAATCTCCTTCTGAATGGAATAGCTTGTGGTCTGACAATTGGGAAGATATACATTACATTACACATAACCTGAAGTAATTACTGGATTCGAAGCAGTAAAACAAACAATATTTCACTAATTATTGAATACTTTTAATAATAAGAATGTTGATAGCCAACGGCCATTACAATGGGCTATGATTACAATACCACATAATAATGTGACAATAGCATAATAAAAAACAAAACAAGTGAACTCTACTGACTTATTCTATAGTTACAATCTGACATGACATATGTCATTTTTAAAATCAATGCGGGAATTGTGGTATTTTAACAATTAATTTATGTATTATTATTGGATCTAGCCAAATAGATAGGTTTTCTTGTATACTTCATCTGTCAGAGATCGAAGTTGACATAGTTGCCAAAGCATAAAAAAATCCTGACTCCATTTTAAATCAAATAGATTACATAATTATTGCAAAAGTATTACCATCTCTTTACAACGACTATTTAAATTCTTACGTGACATTTTTGAAATAAAACACACTAATTTTGTTCTAAAAAGAACAGATTTTATTAGATAGTTAAAAATATAAAACAAGAGATATTCACTTTAAAATTCAAAATAATGAAGTACAAAAAGTGTCAACACCGCAACTGTCAAATAAGTGTTACCAATTTATGCCAAAATTTTACCTTCGTTCGATTACAGTTACAGTGTGTTCCGAACAAATGTTCTTGATAAAAACGCTTTATAATGCATTTATACAAATTAAATGAAACATAATATTGTGTATTTCTTCAAATTAACATTAATAGAAATTTTTAAATATGATTTCTACGCGTACATAATAAAATATGTCTAGTGGCTGTAATGTCAGTGTACTCGGTAAAGTGGTTCTAAAAAAGAACACACCTACACCCTAAATATTTTGTGTTGGTATCATGTGACGCCACAGGCTATGACGCCGATGACGTGCATCGTTATATAAATTAGATGAAGTGTATATAACTTCTCTTGATTTTTTTAACCAACCTAATTATCGAATCCTTTTCTATTTCAGTATTTCAGGTGGGGAACTTTTCGAACGGGTGGTAGCCGACGACTTTACGCTTACTGAAAAAGACTGCATTTTATTTATGAGACAAATCTGTGAAGGTGTAGCCTACATGCACTCGCAAAGTATCGTCCATTTAGATCTGAAACCGGAAAACATTATGTGTCATACGAGAACCTCGCACGAGATTAAGATCATTGATTTCGGTTTAGCGCAAAAACTCAATCCCAAAGAACCGATTCGAGTGCTGTTTGGAACGCCGGAGTTCATACCGCCAGAGATCATCAGTTATGAGCCTATTGGGGTGGAATCGGACATGTGGTCGATAGGAGTAATTTGTTACGTATTGTAAGTATTAAGTTTAAATTTTGATTTACTATTTTTCATGTGTTAATTTAAGAAAATGAAGCAACTAACAGGCGAGTGGTACAAACAAAATGTTTGAACAAATCAAATGGTTTACAAAATTAGTTTCAAAGCCGGCCGATTTTGGGGACCACATTTTGAAGCTTTGAGAACAATTCCGTTAAAGGCAATCTTTTTCGAATTTAGCACAATAAAACTTTAAAATATATTTATTGAAATGACGCTAATAAAATGTTCTATTTATTATAAACAAATCTGCTATCAGTTTAAAACAAAGGACTAACTTCGTTCCAAATTGTCATAGAATAACTTTTTTTCTTTTAAAATTGTGAAACAATGCAGGTTGTCTAAATTTGAAAAAATATTTTTTTCCAGGCAGCGGTTAAAAAGTATTCTAATTTTTTATATGAAAACAATCGATGTTTTTGCAAAATTATTTTGCAATATTTAAAATAGTTTTTCTTTATTCTTTCAAAATCTGTCCTTAAAATTACTATAACTACACAATTTTCTGTTTTATAACCTTGCAAAAAATATTTATTTGGGATAAACAAATTAAATAACTTTTAAACTATCTATCGGTTTGAAATTTTGGTCATATTTTAGGCACTGCAAGACCCTTGTAATATAAAGACTATAAGTTTATTTTTTAAGAAGTTATTAACATTTACAAAAAGCCGAAATTTTTTACTTGTTTTGCAACTTTCTTAGCAAAAATAAGGATAGAAACGTTTAAAAAACGCTTATTTGGAGGTTTTTATATGCTTTTTAAGTTTCTCTTTCTCAAATTTGTTTTAAAAGCTTCACTTTTTGCTAAAAAACAAATAAAGCGAAAATTTACCGTTTTTTGACATTAATATGTTAATCAATATAAGGTTGAATGTTCGAATAATTAAACTTTGAGGGTATACAAGGCAACTATCGAACACGGTGATTAATTTAATCTTGCCCAAGTACTTTCGATCAATAGATCATCTTCAGGGGCATTTCGTCAATTGTGGACTATCCGACATACTAGAATGTCATAAATGTAAAAACTGGACATAACAATACAAAATACACTACACTAAGACAAACAAACACTTTAAAATTTATATGGCGAAGCTACATATTGTGAAGAAGCCGGAGACATTTTTCCCATTCTGTCCCCGGCTTCTTCACAATATGTAGCTTCGCCATATAAATTTTAAAGTGTTTGTTTGTCTTAGTGTAGTGTATTTTGTATTGTTATGTCCAGTTTTTACATTTATGACATTCTAGTATGTCGGATAGTCCACAATTGACGAAATGCCCCTGAAGATGATCTATTGATCGAAAGTACTTGGGCAAGATTAAATTAATCACCGTGTTCGATAGTTGCCTTGTATACCCTCAAAGTTTAATATGTTAATAACTAATTCAGAAAATGGACTTCAGGAAACATATAGGTTCTTGTTATTGGGGTCCATACTACTCAAAACAACTGTCGTTTGCCTGGCCGGAGCAGTGTCACGAATAAAGCTTATTTCTCTGGGATAAAAGTTTTTTTCGGCAGGAGGGGAGAAACCACAAGGCCTTTCAGGTGGTAAACATGCGAAAACCTCGTGAAGAAATCCTAAAAATAAAGAAATCTACTTTTAGAATGTGCACATGGAATGTTAGAGGACTATTTGCGGCTGGGAAACAACGCAATTCAAGAAATGAAAAGAATGAAAATAGACATAATTGGAATCAGCGAAATGAGATGGCCAGAGTCAGGATCATGTAAAAAGGACAGAAGTGTATTATATTATTCCGGTAACAGCACAAAAGGCCCGCATCACAAAAAAGGTGTAGTTATATTAGTAACATCAGAACTGAGTGAATATCTGACCAATTTCGTACCAGTCTCGGATATAATATTACTCCAAATAAATACTCAACCATTTAAAACTAACATGCTTCAAATATATGCCCCGACTGCAGAAAGAAAATATGACGATGAAGTTGAAAAGTTGTATGATCATATCCAAGACATCTTACAGAAACTTAATAAACACAAAATTGTATATATTATAGGCGACTTCAATGCAAAAACTGGAAAAGGTCGACAAGGTCAGACTGAAAGTCCTTATCGAGGACAGAGATTGTATGAATTTTGTAAAGAAAACGATTTGATCATTGCACATACCTGGTATAAACTACCTCAGCGACGACTATACACTTGGAAAGCCCCATTTGATGATGGCAATAACCCTGAGTAATCAAAAAAAAAATCAAATAAACTATATAATTGTAAATGAGCGTTTCCGAAATGCCGTCAAAAAAGTCACTACATTTCCTGGAGCAGACATTGGATCTGATCATCAGCCACTTGTATTAGATATTAAACTAAAATTAAAACGAATTCAGCGACAAAAACCAAAAACCAATGTCTTAACTCTGAGGATATAAACATAAAACATAACATTAAAAAAGAATTTAACAATATAATAAAAAACATCGGAGAACAACTAGAAGATCCAGAAGAACTATGGAGTGCATTTAAAAACCAAGTTAACGAAATCTCCACAAACAATGATTATAGAAAAAACTTAATCAAGAAAAATAAATGGATCACAGACATCTTTAAATGAAGTAATTTCTTTGCAATAATCATCTCAGTTTAGAACTAAGACAAAGAATGATTAAGGGCTATGTTCGGTCCGTACTTTTGTATAGTGCAGAATTGTGGACGCTAAAAATTCTGATCATAAACAAAATTGAAGCATTGGAAAATTGGGTTCATAAACGAATGCTGAAGATAACTTGGACTGCAAAAAAACCTAATGAAGAAGTACTAAGGAGCATCAACAAAGATAGAGAACTGCTAAAGACCTGTTAAACATTGAAAAATGTCTTATCTGGCACATATAGTAAGGGGAAGTCGATATAAAATATTACAACTGATCCTTAACAAAATAGAGGGCCGTAGAGGTGTAGGAAGAAAACAAGTTTCCTGGTTAAAAACATTCGTGAATGGACTCGGATACCAAATGCAGGACAATTATTCCATATTGCAGAAGATCGAGAAGACTTTGCAATGGTGATCGCCTACGTCGGATAATTCTGATATGGCACGCGAAGAAAAAAAAACGTTTCTTTGTTAGAACTACTAAGTAAAAATAAAGAAACGAGGTTAACCATGGAAAATGTTAAAAAGAGTATAGTAGAAAATCTGATATAGTACATAAAGAATAAAAATTTGGGGTAACTCATTGTTATGACGAGAAATAAAATGTATAATGTAATGAAATAAGGATGAAAGTCCGAAGGAAAAAGTACTAGGCGAAGGTATCCAGAAGAAGATAATATCTAGAAGTGCTATAAAATGTTAATTTTTTTACCAGCCTACCTACCTTAATTTTTATTATTTTTCTCTATATGTCTGCTTTTATACATTTTCACTTTATCTGTTACTTCTTTTTGACCTTTACATCATTTTAGTTATCTTGTACTATCAGTTTTAACTTTTAATTATTACTATTTTAGACTGTCCGGTCTTTCACCATTTATGGGCGACAATGACTCAGAAACATTCACAAATATAACTCGGGCGGATTACGATTTTGACGATGAAGCTTTCAACACTGTGTCTCAGAATGCCAGAGATTTCATTGGCGCTCTTCTAATTAAAAGAAAAGAGTAAGTATCAGCAGCATGTGAATATTTATAAATATGAGGATTAGCAGTCATAGTTATTAGAGAATTTGTTACACTGTTTTTCTTCTTTACCTCCATGGTATCTGTACAATTAAGGCTTCATGTACATATCCACAATCTATATTAATAAAAATGAATAGCCGAAATGTTTGTAGTGGCATCACTTCCGAACTATTGCACCAAATTAGGTAATTTTTGTTGTTGTGTTTCTTATTATCAGTAGTGTTATATATTTAATGAATCAAAGACTATCAAAACATAACTATTTATTTACGTATCAAACGGTTATGTGTAGGTAATTAAATTATTCATAGCAGCGTGGATATTGCTACTCATCGACATTATAACCTCACCTCAGCTTGTCAAATTTTTCCGAAGTGTCTACTCTTACCATGCAGGATTAATATATAACACCTCCTCTCTCGCTAGAGATCAAGCGTAATGGGAGCTTTTACTAATCTTCCGTAGCGCGTTCTAATATTGCAATCTGTGGGTGTTTCATCTCTTGGTAGAAACGGACTTGTTTCTTTTTGTGATGAACTTGAGATGAGCTCCTTTGGTTCTTATTGAACCGATTCGTGTCTCGAATTTGAACTCACTGTCAGTTCAATTATAACACTGTCTCGTATTCTAAAACTGGCATATTACCACACACTATAGGAATTTTTGACTTTTTTATCTCGTTAGAATCTTTGATTCTATCGTCACCTCTGTCTTTTTTCATTTCATTTGCATGTGACAATTAATATAATTTCATTACTACATACTAGATAAGTACAAACTAAATTTTCATAATCTTATCTTTTTGCAATAATTTTGTTTGTTTGGTTTTAATATAAACACATTTAATAACTTTATACCAGGTATGACCATTGAAATCTATAAATGCTTACTAGTATGGCAAGAAGGTTTCAACATATTAATTCTAGTTCTAGGGCGAACTTTAAAAATACTTTCGCTCGGAGAAATCTCTCTAGCCGTTGAAGGAGTTTTTCTATAAGGAACTAAAAAGTTTTGAGTTTTCTAAATAACTAATTGTTTATCTTAATAGTCAACAGGGCCTTTTCCAATGTTTTCTTTACTATTTGAACACTACGCTCCGCGGCACCATTACTTTGAGGGTGATACAGAGGTGTCTTCACTGGTTGTATCCCATTTGATTGACAAAATGCCACATATTCACTGGAATTGAAAGGAGGTCCATTGCATCCATGCATCTGTGCCAATTGACATTAATTTGAGATCTAACCATTTTGATTTCTGATCGATTAAAATCAAAAATATTTAAATTTAAAGCAAAAATCTATATATACTCCGTAAAAGTTATGTAGTGCTGATGGCCACGGACATAATTCCTTGTTTTAATTTGTGAAATTTTGAAATTGATGACATACATTACAACACCACATAAATTTTTCAATATGTTCTTTCACATTTGACCACCAACAATATGAACGTAATAACTAACATTTTGGTACGAACAATACCATTATGTTGTATATGAAGTAAGTCTAACACATTATCTTGTAATTTTTTTGGAATAACTACTCTAGTTTCTAATAGGATGCAATTTTGTTTCATTGACAATTCGTTTCTACATTTAATATGGTTTCAAGGTTTCATCACTCACTTTCCTGGGCCAACCCGACCAAATAAAATCTTTTACTATTAATAACAACAAATCCTTGTTTGTTTCATTCGCAATATGACAAGCATTTAAAGGTATTTGATCTACCAAGCTAAAAGAACGCAAACAATTTGTAATTTTTGTATTTTCACCACGGGGTAATCGTGATAAACCATCAGCTTTATTAATTGCTGCCCCTTTTTTATACTGAATGTCGTATTGATAACGCGACAGAGTGATAGCCCATCTTGTGATTCTTGCAGTCGCTGAAATAGAAATTCCTTTATTTTTACCAAAGATAAACTGTAATGGCTCATGTTCCGTAATCAGCGTAATCCTAGCGACCATAAAAATATTCATCAAATTTATTTAGAGCAAACATAATAGCAAGGGCCTTTCTAAATTACTATAATTTTTTCCGTATTAGATAGTGTACTTGATGCAAACATCTTTTGTTTGTCTACATGACCAATTTTATGACTTAAGACACAATAACTACTTGCATCACATAATGACACTTTTAGACCACTTCTTACTTTCTTGAAATACTTTATGACATTCAGGTGACCAGCGAATCAATATTATTTTGACTCAGTTCATATAATGGTTTTAATTTGGAAGACAACATTGGAATAAACTTTTCGTAGTAATTTAGCAAACCTAAATATGACTTTAATTAATAATTATATTTTTTGGTGTTGGAGCTGAATTAATTGCTACGATCTTTTCTTCAGTAGAATTTATTTCATTGGCATCTGTTATATATCCCAAAAGTTTTACTTTAGTTTGGAAAAACTTAAACTTATTTACATTAATTTTTCCATCATAGTCAAGTAAAAGTTTCAACACTTTTCTGACATTCTCGTAACAATCTACACTCCGCTCCAAAATTAACGCATAATTTTAAAATTCATATTTAGAATTGTAATAAAAATATTTTGTTTTTTCTTTTCTGTTTTATGGTTGTTTTAGAACATCTTAAATAAAAATCTTTTCTTCTTTTACAAAAAATGTATTGAAATTGACAATATAACATCATAAATCTAAACATCTAAGCAAACAACTGATCTAAACAAACTAACATTATAAATTAATGAAGAAACTAGTACCGTGTACTAGTATCGAATATTGCCTCCTCTGGCATTTTTTACTGCTTTACAACGATCTCTCATACTGAGAATAATCGTTCTGATTTCATCTTGATCAATTTGATCCCAAATGTCAACCAACCGCAAAAATCTAATCATCTAATGTGTTTGGTACATTAGGTAGTTGTCGTAGTCGTCTGCCTATGATTCCCCAAACATATTCTATTGAGCAGAGGTCAGGACTTCTCGCAGGCCAATCCATGGCAGGAATTCCAACCTCCTGACGATACTGCTACACAATTCTTGCCATGTGTGGCCTGGCATTATCTTCCATAAGCATGAAATTATCACCAATAAATGGTGCAGCAGGCACGACATGCTCTTCTAAAATGTCTGTTATATATCTCTGCGATGTAAGCCGACCGCGATCTATTCTAACTAATTCCATACGAGCCTCTAAATTAATCCCACCCCACACCATTACCGAGCCGCCGCCATACTGTACAGTTCCTAAGGTGTTACACTGTGCGTATCGTTCCCCAGGCCTTCTATACACTCGGTTTCTCCTGCCATCAGAAAAAAGTCAGTACCTGGATTCATCGGTGAACAATATTCTTCCTCAATGGTCATTATTTCAATCAACATGTTCATGAACAAAATGCAATATTTGCCTTCTATGGTCTCTGGTCAATAATGGGCCAATTGGTGCCCTTCCAGGGTGTAGGTTGTTTTCGGCAAGTCTTCTAATCGTATTTTGGCTGATTCTTTATAACGATCCAAAAATTCATTTTGTAGAGAAGTACTGGTAACAAACCTTTATCTCAGTGTACGAAGTGTCAAAAACCATTCTCGATTAGGAGTTGTAACCCTTCTACGGACTTGACCGGGTCTTCTCAAGTTACTTCTAGTAACAGAAAAAACGTGTTAACACTCTTGAAATGGTTGACTGGGTGACGTTAAAACGATCATCAAGTTCTACTTGAGTGTATCCTAATAAACTTGAAAACCCCATTTAAACGTTCAGCACAACGTAATCCAACTAAACTAAATTCGAAATAAAATGAAGCACAATTAGCATGTTTTTAATTCTTTTGCAAAAAATGGTAAAAACATTAGATGTTTTTCCGTTCACACCGTTTTATTTCCGGTCACTAATTTTACAATATACCTGGGGTAACAATAATATATTAACACAAAAATCGAAACATTAAAATTATTTGATTTACTAGGGTTTTTAAAATTATGCGTTAATTTTGGGGTGCAGTGTATAAGCGACTCACTATATTCTAAATTATCATCTAAGTAACATTTAGTGTTTTGTATACTTTGCTTTTCCATTCTTTGATTTGTCATAAGTGTATACAAAAACATGTCACTCTTTTCATTTAATATGTTTTATATTTTAGGGAACGTCTCTCTGCCGAGCAATCTCTGAAACATGTTTGGTTGGATCCAGAGACTCATCAACAAACTGTTGTCTTGTCGACAGATAAACTCAAGAAATTTATCATTCGCCGCAAGTGGCAAGTAAGTATAAATAAAATTAGTGTTGTTTTTGAGTGTTTATTAACATTTGTGATATATTGACTGGTCGATTATATTTTAGCTTGTCCAATATATTTCCGAAACTACTTTCTTGTGATATGTTATCTACTATTTTTAATAGAAATTATTCACAATATCAATAGGTCATGGCAACATGGGTCACGTGCTATTGTCACCGCGGGGGAACAAATAGCGGTCTAATTTCTTTCTATATGCCTCCGGGTGCTCTGTAGAGGGCTTCGGAGACGTCAACGAAAGCACCTCTACCCAAGTCCACTTTCAGGATATGAACTTGTAAAGTTTTCTTCCGATGAGCTCGTCTTGAAAAAGACGAGCTATTTCTTACATGACATACGATGAAGTTGTCGAAATAGACATCAGGTTCTCAGCTTCGGTGACTTGCCTTGAAAAAGGCAAGTTGTTTCTTACATGACTAAATAGCCGAAAATAAAACACCAAGTTTAAAGTTGAATAATAGTACTCAGTCACAGAGTATGGAAAGCTAAAAAGGAGGCAGAGCCCCGAGAGCACGGAGAGCCCGTGAGGGACTGACTTGATAAGAAAAATACATAAAAATGCATGAAGTATACTTATATGAAAAAATACATGAAAATGTAAATAAAGTAAAATTGTCTTTGAAAAATTCACAACACAGCACTAATAGGGAGGTCGGTGGTGTTGACGGCATCTCCGGCTCCTGCAGGTCCATCCTCGATCGGTGTGCCAATTCCTTCGACGGGTTCGTCTTCTTCTCGGTCGTCCGGATCCCATCTGCCATATCCAACGGGTTTTCGTAGAGTACCAGGGTGTCCCGGCCTTTTCGGTAGGGGGCGATGACTGGGTCTACTCCGGGACTTGCATTGGCATCTGGGGCTTCTGACTTCGAAGAAGGCTGGCTCGTCAAAGGTGCCTGCACGTCGAAGGCATCCGGTCTGCAGAAGGCCTCGATGTCGGAGTGTTAGATAGCATTTTAACACTCCGTGGTTCTCCCCATTCTTCTCTTGACTTCAACCCATGTTAAAGTCAATGGTGTGTTGCCTTCTGCTGCGAGTTGAGCTGGGTCGTGGGATCGGAATAATCCACGTTGTCGGGCGCCATGTCACCGCGGGGGAACAAATAGCGGTCTAATTTCCTTCTATATGCCTCCGGGTGCTCTGTAGAGGGCTTCGGAGACGTCAACGAAAGCACCTCTACCCAAGTCCACTTTCAGGATATGAACTTGTAAAGTTTTCTTCCGATGAGCTCGTCTTGAAAAAGACGAGCCATTTCTTACATGACATATGATGAAGTTGTCGAAATAGACATCAGGTTCTGAGCTTCGGTGACTTGCCTTGAAAAAGGCAAGTTGTTTCTTACATGAGTAAATAGTCGAAAATAAAACACCAAGTTTAAAGTTGAATAATAGTACTCAGCCACAGAGTACGGAAAGCTAAAAAGGAAGCAGAGCCCCGAGAGCACTAAGCTCTCGGAGAGCCCGTGAGGGACTGACTTGGTTGACCTGAAAATCGCCTATTTGTATACACGCCGAAGTAGCGATAAATAGGGATTTCCAGGTCAGGGACCAATAGGAAAAGCGAGGGACGGGGCGATGCGTCTCGAGCGCGTACTAGTCGCGTCTGAGGACACTATAGCCCTTTTATGGCTAGGTTATCAAGGGATTCATTATTCGACCAATAATCTTGTATGTTCTTGTTGATCTGCACCTTCCTAAGACTCTCCATCACTGAACGGATATTCGTCAGAATCTGAGCCAGGAAAAGTTTCCTCTGGTTCTGACAAGTCACTAGCTCTTCAAAGATGTTTTTCAATTCTTTTCGTGTTAAAAAACGTTGGGCCATAATTCACGGCCTGCAAAGCGTAGAACGGTTATCACTGTTTGGAGTAAATTAAAAAAAAACTGATGGGACAATAATGACCCAAGAAAAACGAGTACTGGGACATCCAGGTTCAAATACATGAATTGTGCGAGAACGATGATGGAAAAATAGAAATTTTACTTCCTTTTAACAACAAACGATTTCAGGATTGTTTCGTAGTAATATTTTGCAGGCAAAAACACTAAATATGTATCACAGTAACAAAACATAGAACCACCACAAAACCACCTATTTTTAGAAAATTTTTAGTTGTATAATCGAATTGTTAATAATCATTTTATTGAATAGCCAACGTGACCAATAAATCTCTCATATTAACTACAAACAGTGAACAATATTGTTAAAATAATGCCTTTTTCCTCACTGTACGACCTAAGCTAAATTTTGTTTTCCTTTAATCGAATATTATTACTGCTAAACTCAAAAAATGAATCAGATTTTACACTATTTAACAGTAAGAATTTAAAAGAAAAAACAAAGTAACAAAACAATTTATGTTTTGCATTTACTGTGACGATGGAACGCAAGAATCTTAATCCACGAGGAAGCTATTACGTACAGATCACCTAACCAAATTTGTAAAAGGAGAGTAACTTACGATTTCAAATTAAGGTAGCAGTGACTTTTGTTCTTTTCTCAACTTTTACTTTATCTATCCTTGATTTGTTGCGTATACATCACTTAAACGAATCAAATGATAATCAATGTGGACCGTGTAGATGTTTAAAATGTTTAAAATAGATATAATCTGGTTGTACAAATATATAAAAATTTGTATTAAAAAAAATATAATCAGACCAGTCTACTTCACTGTTTTGTTTTTGGTCGTACTTTTTAAACTATAGAAAAACAATCAAACCTGTCATTTGCCTGGCCGTTTCAGTGTCGTAAAAAAACCTTATTTCCCTGGTCTATATAGCACTCACTGGAGAATAATGAAAAAATAAAAGAGGCTTATGCCTAATATTGACCGAATAAAGCTGGTGTAGATGCCATGATCGATAGACGTTTTATATATTATAGAACTCCCATTTTTATTGTGAATTTATATTTAACAAGTTAGCACATTCTCCTCTTGGGCGTTTGTTTAAATATGACGGTGATATTTACATAAAGTATCATAAAAATACCAAAAACAATACAATGTAGTAATATTTTTATCGATTTTGCATGTTTTTTATTTTTGTTTGTATTTTTGCATGAAATGTGGTTTTCTTTTGTTTTTGCTCAGAAAACAGGCAACGCCATACGAGCTTTAGGCAGAATGGCGACTCTTTCGGCCAGCAGAAGAAACTCTGCCAATTCTGTACCTAATACACCTCGACCTTCGTTATCAGGTACACCGCCTAGTGTACCCAGAATGTCGAGCGTCAACGAAGAAGATAATGCCAATAATCGCTGTGATATAAACGACCTACCTGGAGATGATTTAGTACACAAGAAAGACATTGAGGAATGCGTCGCTGAAATTAATAAACTAATAGAGGAGACTAATAAGGAAAGTAGAGAAAAAGAGGAGACAGATGAAGAAATCAGAGAAGGCGATCAAGAAAGCGAGTCTGTTAGCGAAAATCATATTGAGTTAGAGGAAGAATCTCCAGAACCGTATGTACCTTCAACTCCAATAGAAGATCTCGAAACTGAAAACATTAAAAAAATAAATTCTAGAACGTATAGCAATATTAGCGAAACTCACATTGAGTTAAGAAAAGAATCTCCTGAACAATATGTACCTCTGACACCAATAGAAACTTTTGAGAATGATAATGTTAGAGTAGTTAGGTCTAGAGCTTGTACTGACCGAAGCGACAGTGGCATCAGCGATTGTTCTACCCTTCTACCTAGTTGCACTTCAACACCTCTCTTAGCCAAGAAGTTCTGTATCAATGAAGAAAGCGAATACGGCAATAACGATCACACGTACAGCTCATCAAAGATGCTGATTATGAAGAATTATAAAAACAATTTGGGCAATGGAACCAGACAAGATACGACTGAAACGAACAATCATCGCAGTGATGAGACAGATGAAAGGTTGAGTAAAAAAGCGTTCGTTGGTTTAGGACTAAATGACAAAATTGAAACTCTTACTAGCCATACATCAACAAAGGGTAAGTTACATTTTTGCTTAATGGCTTTTTTATTATTTTTTATAGTTATAGTCTATATATATTACGTACTAACTGTAAAAAATTAACATCGAGGACAGTTCCAATAAAAATAAAGTCTATTAAAGCATCTGATACGTGAGATGAAGATATCTGACATATATTATGTATTATTAATTCCTTCTATCTGATCTGTCTTTTGTTTTGACATGTGACAGTTGTTTTTTTATTTTGTGCCATCTTTCATCGAGTATTTTCTTCGTATGTGTCAAAACTGAAACAGGTCAAGCATAAAGAGGACAGATCAATAACAAATGACGTACCTACAAATCAATATTCTAGCAAATTAAATAAAAAAAATTATGACAAAAACATATGACTGGGTTTTTCATCTCAGCATGATAAATTCACCTTAACGAAGAATGATTTTTATATAACGAGATCTTTTGTCTTCGCGTTTTACTTTGTTATGGTATAATTCTAATTTTTGTGTCTTCTTCTTCTTCTTCAGCCTTCATTTATCCAATGTTGGACATAGGCCTCCTCCAATTGCTTCCACGCTTCCCTATCTTTGCAATTCTCATCCACTGCTTTCCAGCTACAGCAGTTATATCGTCTATCCATCTCTTTTTAGGTCTTCCCACGGTTCTTTTTGTTTCTCGAGGTCTCCAGAATGTCACTTTATGAGACCATCTGTTGGTGTCTTGTCTTGCTTCATGTGCTACCCATTGCCATCTCAATGTCGCTATTTTTCCCATGATGTCGGTTACTTTAGTTCTTCGACGTATTTCGGTGTTAGGAATTTTGTCTCTGAGGCTTATATCTAACATGGCCCTTTCCATGGCCCGTTGAGTTACTCTTAATTGTTCTGCCATTTTTCTTGTTATTGCCATAGTTTCCAAGTTGCAACTGGTAGTATACAAGTGTAATAGGTTTTTCGTTTTAAGTGAATTGGAATTTTTCTGTCTTTTAAAATGAAGCTCAACTTACCAAAAGCAGCCCATGATAACTGTGCCCTTCTTTTAATTTCTAGGGTTTGATTTTCCTTTTCGTTTTTAATTGCATGTCCTAGATATATTTATATATATATATACTTCTAGCGGTTAATATGGGCTCCGTACTAAAACGGTATTATACTAACTCCAGGAGAATATACGCCGTGTATATTATTATCTGAGTAGCGCTTTATGTAGACTCCGACCAATACGTCGGATCAAGTGGATTCCTTAATAGGATCAAACATTTTTGGGATCCGTATATAACTTTTCCCGTACACTTCTAAACTCCTGCGATGTTGCCAATAATTGTATTAGTAGTAGATTTTTAAATTTTATAGGTGGTACATTTTGGAACCTATTAATATGAACATCGAGTAGCGTAATCGTCTAACAGTTTAAGAAACTCTTCTGTAAGATATTTATAATTTTTCAATTACTGCAGTTTATGGCGTGTAATATTTATTTCATGAAGTAGTTAAAATTAGACTATAATAATTTATAAATTAATCTTTAATATTATAATTTTTTGCTGTCTAATTTCAATATGTTGATTTTTAATTAACAAAATATTTGATGCATTAAAGTCGCGTAGCTATTTTCACCAAACATTCAATTTTAAAGCTATTAGTATAAAAGTCTAAAAAAAAGTATAAAAACTAAGGAATTTAATATGGATACACACGTCAGTGTGCTTTTCTCAAGTCTTAAGTTTCTCGAATCCATCAATCATTCATTGTATTTCTTATACTTTCATTTTAATCCTCTCCAATCAAGATTTTAAAGCAGGTTTGCTCCATTAGTCCATTTTTATTACTTTTTGTCACTATTTCTCCTTTTTTATTATCATCATCATTACGTGGCGCTACAACACTGGGTGGGTCTTCGCTAACTACAAATTTTCTCCAAGTTGATCGATTTTCCACGAATCTGTAATCAAATGAAATGTTAATATTTTGAGATATAATTGGATGTTTTCTCTCCATTGCTTACTGAGACGCCTAAGCGGCATTCTTTCTTCTGTGCTAACTTCCTTCCATACCAGTTTTACAAGTTTGATATATTGGCGTCTATGCATGTGTCCGATCTACCTTAAGCGATTTATTTTTCTGAACAATATCGTTATAAAAGCTTTCTTTATTCAGTATGGGTTCTTATTCTATACGGATTTGTAGCGATATGATAATGAGGTTAAAACATTTTTCTAATTATTTTTATTTCAAATATTCGTACTTCTTCCTTATTTTTTTTAGTCAATGTCAATGATTCGCATCCATGTATTAAAATAGGTCTAAAATTTGAATTATGCTAAAAGTATTTAGTTATTGACATTATTATTAACAGTGATTATTTATCTAAGATATTTAAAGTGTTCCATATTTATGAAATTGTAGTTGTTAACTTTAATATTTTATCTAGATTTATTAAATTGGTCTTTTCTGTTGATTCGCTTGTATTTGGTTTTCATTTCGTTGATTTTTCGTGCTCTTTTTACTTTATTGAAGATGTTTGCAGACGGGAGAGTTTCTTATGAGATCTATGTCATTAGCATATGCTAGGAGTGCTTTGTACCTTGGGCCTTTAATGAATTACATCTTAAATAGGCGATATTTCCATTTTAGTAAGCTGTTCATTAATTTTTTGACTATTTGAATCGACAATCTGTATTTTATTCGACTGTTATATCACAGAGTTTCTTGGCGCATATTTTCATTCTTGGTTTTTTGTTTCCCGTATCATTATTACAAAGATTTTTCTGGAGATCGACATAGGGAACCCGATGTACATGATGTTTTCATAACCAATATCGAAAATTTGACTTACTGTAAAGTCATAATGATTTTACTAGGAAATATAGTGTTGTTTAATAATAATAAAGTTCAAGCAACAATTCCTATATGCAATACCTTGGTATGATATTTCTGCTCCCCGATACCAAGTAGCAGTCCCGAAAACATTAAAACTGCTACACTCATGTTTCCTATTATCCAAAAATTAGCCAGTCCAGGACTATACTGCCCTCATAAGTGAATAGAATATGTACGGAGGTTTTTGGCAATTTAATAGGATTTTGTGTGTTAGAATATTATTTCTCCGAGAAAGTAAAGAATATTTATTTGCTATCCGAATCTTCTTCTTCTTCTTCAGCCTGTGTTCGTCCACTGCTGGACATAGGCCTCTTCCATTTGCTTCCATCGATTTCTACTTTTGGCAATTCTCATCCACTGCTTGCCCGCGACTTGTTTGATATCGTCTGTCCACCTCTTCTGCGGTCTGCCTACTCCTCGCCTGTTCTCTCTTGGTCTCCAGTTTGTTAATCTTTGTGTCCATTTTTCGGGATTATCTCGGGCAACGTGTCCGACCCATTGCCACTTGAGCCTTGCAATACGTTCTGAGACATCAGTAATTTTTGTTCTTTCACGAATGACGTTATTTCGAATCCTGTCTCTCAAACTAATCCCTAGCATGGCCCTCTCCATTGCTCTTTGGGTTGTACTGAGCTGCTCTAAGGTTTTCTTTGTGAAGGCCATGGTCTCCAGTCCATATGTAGTTACAGGCAAGATACATTTGTCATAAACTTTACGTTTTAGACACATTGGTATATCTTTATTCTTCAAAATAAAGCTTAATTTGCCGAAAGCTCCCCAAGACAGTTGTATGCGTCTTTTTATTTCGGCTATTTGATTTTCTTTGCCGATTTTAATGGTATGTCCAAGATATATATAGTGGTCTCCATTTTCAAGACTGACGTTGTCAATAACAAGATTAGTTTGTAAATTACTCATTATTTTTGTTTTCTGAAGGTTCATTTTGAGACCTATTTTATTTGACTGCTGGTTTAATTCCTTCAACATTTGCTCCAGTTCCTTGATATCTGTACTAAATAATACTATGTCATCCGCAAACCTCAAATGACTCAAACGTACACCATCAATGTTTACACCTTTTTCCTCCCAGTCAAGCTGTTTGAATACATTTTCCAATGCTAAGGTAAAAAGCTTTGGTGAAATAGTATCACCTTGTCTAATACCTTTATCAAGGCGCATTTTTTCAGTTTTTTCGTCTTCATTGATTTTGATGTGGAATGTGGCCTATTCATAAATGTTTTTAATGAGTGTAGTGTACCGTGAGTCTATTCGAGCATCCTTCAGGGCTGACAAAAAGGACCAAGTCTCAATACTATCGAAAGCCTTGTGAAAGTCGATAAATGCCATATGTAAAGGTACATTATATTCTGTGGTTTTTTCTACTAGTGTTCTGATGGTTTGTAAGTGATCATTAGCGCCAAACCCTTTTCTAAATCCCGCCTGTTCAACCGGTTGATATAAATCAAGTTTTTGTGTTATGCGGTTGGTTATTATTTTTGTTAACAATTTGTATAAGTGTGACAACAAACTAATAGGTCTGTAGTTTTCAATATTAGTAGTGTCTCCTTTCTTGTGTAAAAGTATTATTTCGGCGTTTTCCCATAGGCTGGGTATTCTTTTTTCTGTTAGACACTTATTCAGTAAGACTTCCACAACTTCTACAACGATGTTGCCGCCCATTTTTAACATTTCAGACGTTATACGATCCTCGCCGGGAGCTTTTTTGTTTTTCATTTGCTGTAAGGCATGTCTAATTTCCGAAGAGGTTATTTTAGGGAGGGTTTCTGAGCCGACGTTTAGAATTGTTCTGTGGTCTGGTTCGGGGTTCTGTATAGTAGATGTATAAAGATTCTTATAGAACGTTTGTATTTCCTTGATTATTTGAGTTTTTTCGGTCACCGTATTCCCTGTTGATTTTTGATTTTAGTTATATTTGATTTTCCTTTAGTTAAATTTGATTTCAATACTCTCATGTTTCTATTGTTTTCGATGGTTTGCAATATTTGTTTTGTTTTATAAGCCCGCAAGTCTGACCTTATGCTCTTTTTAACTTTATTGTTGATAGCTTTATACTCTGGTAATTCTTTCGATGTTCTTCTTCTTTCTTCCATTAAATTAAGTGTTGTTTGTTTCAGTTTCG